AAATGCTGGTGCTATTTAACAATCTACCCAGATCTAACAGAAAAAAGTACAGAAGCACTTGAAAGAAATTCATCTTAGAAGGACAGGTTATTTGTTGAAAAACGAAGATTTCACGTGTTTTCTAGGGTTAGAGAAAATCTCATGCTTTTTCCATTTCCTTGGAGAAAAGGAGCCTGAGCTTTACAGGACATAGCATGATGGTGTATACACATGCATGCTAAAGTCCTTTTTTGAGAGGACTTTTCTATCTGAAAGCTTCATATTTCAATTGCTGAAAGTTCATCTGATAATGATATTGCCCTCTTATTTCCTAGCAGAGGACAAATTAACCCAGTGTTGCTGTAAATGTAAAAAAAGTAGATCCATTTCTTAAAACTGCACTATTTGGCTTTATTGTGAAGAGAGTTTAAAAAATGCATTAACTTTTTCTTCCTGGTTTCAAGTGTTGTAATAATAATTCTGATAGTAAAAATATTGAGTTTGCCTCCCTGGTCTTTTTAAAGTGTTGAACTGAACTTTAGCACTTGTGAAACAGTTGCTGTTGGAAAAACACCATAAAATCCTTTGGCCTGATGATAAAAGGTGGCCTAATTTTCTACCTAAAGTAGGAATGAGTTATAACTAATTGAATGCCTTTGGCAGATCAGCTGTAGAACAAGACAGTCTATGCTGAGAACAGAGCGCTCTCCCCAGCTTATTGGATAAAAATAAAGCTTTGTGTATCCTGAGTTACCGCACAATTTTTCCTTATCTTGGACTTCAGATAATTACACTGTCAGATTTGGAATGTGACTACATTAACGCTAGATCATGCTGCTCAAAACTCAATAAAGTAAATTATTCTTCTTTGCATTTAATATGGTTTAAGAAAACAATCCTTCATCTTAGCATCACAAATAACAGTGGTATAATATGTATCTGAAGAGACTTGATTGGCAGTATTTTGCATGTATCCTTTATTTCAGTCTGCTTGTCTTTTTTGGATGCCCACCTTTCAGCAAATTCAATCACAAAGGCTCTTCTGACCCTTGGTACCCTGAGATGGGCTGCTACTCTGAATTCGTGGGACTGAGACTTAACTCTTTGCAGAGCTCTTGAGTTCTGTGCTTTCGTTCTTGTAGGTGTGCCACACCAAGGATGTGTACTTGTGACTGAACTCTGCGACCTTTGTAGCAACTTTCTATGATGCTTCTGTATAACTTCTAATCTTTCTTGAACAGCAGGGAGATTTAAAGTGATAAGGAAAAGTACCATTTTAACCAAATCTGCTTAAAACTGATTTCGTTAAATCAATGTGGCCTTCCTGCATGGGTGTTCACTTTGATTTAAAGGTATTTTCTTTCTTAATGTAAGAGAGAATGCTGTTGAGCATTCTCTTGATAGTATTCTCAAGAGAAGATACTATCAAGCCAGAAATGTGCTATTGTCAGGGCTGACCCAGTTTATTTATTCCAGTTTTCATATTGATCAGTTTCCTTGTCTGTTCCAAGCCTGAGGGTGTTCCTGTGTCCTGTGTCTGTGCAAATTTTAATTATCTGCTTCTCTCGTTCCAGTGTTCTCTGCAGTGATTTCAAATGAGCACTGTATGCTTTCTTAACTCGCTTTCTTAAATGCTTGTGTGATATTGTTGTGTTCAAACACAAGTTCTCTGTAGAAATTTTTGTAATACTTAGATAAAGTACCTCTGTTATAATATCTTATGGCCTGATTTCTGACTTACACAGAATCTGTCTCAAGCTATTAATTTCCCCATATTGTGATAAAATCACGTGAGTTTGCTTCTTCCATTAATTTTCTGTCTGAGTTTGATATTATTAGAATCAGATGATAATTCCATATAGATGTCCTTTTCAGAAAGCAATTTATACTTGTGCACGTAACTTTTTTCTTTTCTTCCCTTCTTACAGTGGGTGGTCCCTGAGGTGATTGGCCATGCTGTTGTAACGGTATTAATGCTTATTTCGTTGCACTGGTTCATCTTTCTCCTTAATTTGCCAGTAGCAACATGGAATATATATAGGTAAGTGCAAAGGGTTTTGTGTGCTGCTTTTTTTTTTCACTCATAGTTTATCTCCAAGTGTGGTATGAAGGTAAATAATATGTCACGATTAGATGTTTCAGTTGTGTGCTTGAGCTGCTAACAGTCTTTGTGGATCTACCTAACATAAAACTCTCCTCTCATTGTAATTAAAATTACAAGAAACCCAACAGTGTAAAGGATATGAAGCTTTTGGCCTTTCCTTGCAGCCCAGGAATCTCGATCTGTGAATCATTCCCAAATTTGTAGGAAGTAATAGCATGTTAATTGGGATTATGAAGTAGTACTGCAAACATAGTTGTTAATGTTTTTCATGCTGTGCCTACATGCCCGATAGTGATATCGGCATTAAAGTACTTAGGTCAGCATGGCCGATGGTTGTAAAACCATCTGGCTGTGGCATTATGCCCCGCACCCTCCTTCGTTTACTTGTTTTTCCCCCTCATTTGCATTGTTTCTAGTCCCCCATCTTGCCTCTTTGTATTTGGAAAACTTTGCAGGCTTTTCATCTTATGACAACTGTCAGCGTTACTGGTCTCCGTATACTGGGCCGTCCACCACTTTGAAGTGGTTTACTTATCAGTAGGGATTTCCATATGGCAACATTGGGACTGCTAAGATATGTTTTCTTTATTTTCTTTATTTCTATATTTTCTTTATTTTGTATCATTTGATGAGCAGAGAATTGAACTTTTACAAGTGTTATGCTAATGAAAACTGGGTGTGGACTTGTTGCAAATTATGTCTAATCACTGTACTACAGGAAGTTCATAAGTTTAAGATAAAAGTACGAAAAGTTGGCCGCAATTCTTGTTTGCCTGAACCTGCTAGGGCTACCTAATTGCAGGGATGGGACCAGTTGTTGGTAAAATCAAACAAGAACTTTCATAGCTCTCATTAAAAAGAAGTTGAGGATCCCTTTACTGATAGCCTCATTGCTCTTGGGCAAAATAACCATGCATTTATCACCCCTGTTTTCTACAAAACTGCTAGCAAAGCCTTCAAGTGTTTCTATGCTGGAGTAACATGAGACAGTGTAACTTGTATGTTTAATAGACAAATGTTGCCTAAATGCGTGCACATAGGGGTAGTTTTGTTTGGCCACCTGTATGTATAATTGTATTACACACTGTTGCACAAAAAGATACCCTTTGGTATCTGCTGGCAAGTATGGAGTTTGCATTTGATGTTTCATTTACACTAGACTGTTTCTACAGAGACACTCGAGAGAGGATGCATTTTCTTTAAAGCTTTGAAGATTTCTTGTGCTGGTTACCCCTTTGCTACTTCCTTTTGCTTACTTACGCTATTTGAACTGCTATGCCCTTTTAAACCTGGTCAGAGAGAATTTTAAAAGATACAGTCATTTCTGTTTCCACACTTCAGGCAGTAAGCTTTTACTGCTGTTTTGAATTGATAGCTCTCTTTATGTTCGTCATACAGGGGTAGACATTCTGAATATCCTAACATCCAGGATGGTTTCCTCAATTTTAGATGTCCAGTGTAGGCGATAAATGAATATGACAGTATGATACTTTGCCTGTCCCACCACAAGAAGTCAAAATGTTAAGCCTGTATTGCTAATTCTGCCTTCTTTCTGAGGGTCGAGGCGTTTCACCCACATTAATAGCCTGGACTATGCCATCTATAGTGAAGGAGTTAGAGGTCTGCAAAAGCAAGGGTGGTGTTTAGCATTATAAAGGAAATCTGAAGATTTGGGACAGAACTTACATTTGACCCAGTGTTCAATGGACAAAAGATACGGTCGTCAGAAAAATGGTAGACTGTAAAGTAGTTCAAATACACTAAAGAGAGGAGAAGGTGTCAGTTATTAAACTAGGATTAAGTGGAAACAGATGAAGTGTGAACCTGTTACCATGAACGGCAAACTTCCAGCATCAGCTGAATGTGTTTGAATCTTCTTGGTATGTTATAGAAATTGGTTCCGGAAATACTCAAGTAAATGTTGCTGCATATGAATTCAGAAAAGTTTAAGGTTGTAATTTACTCCAAAATGAGTACAGATATCAAAATAATTGTGTTGAGATTGAAGAAGTTGATGCTTTGTAGTATATCCAAGTGATAATAAAGACAAAGGTAGGATAGTAATCCCTTCCACTTACTCTTTCCTTCAAAACCTGCTTAAGCTTGATGAGTAAATGGTACAGTTACAGGCAGTACTGGCTTAATTTACTAATCGTCTCAATGATTTCAGTGACAGTAGAGAGGTTTTGTGTGAAAGGGGCATCAGAAACAAATCTCAGGAAGATAAATTGGTCAAAGACAGCATCAGGAGAGACTTTCAAAGTGCAGCATGTTTATTGTAACATCCTACTGGCCCTTCTTGTTTGGTATACTCAGATGTTCATTTAATTTGATTTTTTTTTTTCTGAATTTTGTAGTGTCTTACACAATCTCCAGTGAGACATAGTTTCATCTTACATTCTCCTTGTTTTAAAACTAGATATTGAAGCAGCTTATTTGAAATCTAGTCATATTTCAAAATAAATACTTTATAGTTCTTAAATATTTCTTAGACCTGCTACTACACAAAAGAAGCAAGAATTGTGAAGGAAATGTTGAATTTGACTAGAAAAAAGCAAAGAAACTCTTCAAAAAAAAAAAAAAAAAGAAAATGTTGAATACTTCCCTTTGTCCTTTTTATATAGATATGCTTGAGACAATAGGTCAAAATGATGTGATTGTTTTGCCTTTAAGTAGATCATACCCATCTTAAAACTAAAGTAAAAAAAAAAAATTCTTTAAAATACAGTTAAAATTCTGACCAGGACTTCCACATCCCTTACAAAATTGTGTAATGTAGAGGGAAATGTCCTGCTGCTGTGGCAGCACCTTCCACTGCGTGGAGATACTGGAAGCACTAATGTATGTACTCATTGAAGCTGACAGTTTTCCTGTTCTGTGTGGTTTTGCTGCAGCGTTTTGCTGTTTAGGGTATGACAACTGGCTTGAGTTGTGTTTGTCAGCATCTGTCATCTTTTGTGTCCATGACTATAGTTCCTTCGCTGTATAATATGAGCCATACTAGCTTTTTGGAAAAACTACCTCCCAAGCTAGTTTTGCAAACTTTAATTAAGTTGCATCATTTAAGTGTTATCACTGTTCTTAAGAAGCAAAATTAATAAATCCTAGAGATAGAATAAAACTATGCTGTCTATTTCTAGGATAAATTGGCACAGGAGATCTGTGTTCTTCCTTGTAATGCATTTTATTTGAAGAAATTTCCAGTAAATGGACAGTAATTTTTGTTATCATACTAAAACCAGACCAATCACTTACAACTTCAAATTTAGAGGAGACTTACAAACTGTATTTCACATGAACTATTTTTAATGGATTGTGTTTGTTATTAGTCAAATGTGCTGCAGTGCTTTTTAATGCCTCTGTGAAAGAAAGACAAATACCGTGGTCTTAACTTTTTTTTTTTTGTTTGGTGTCCTGCTGCTGCTAGAAAACATCCTTGTCTCTTGTTCCCTTTCTTCCCCTCCTATTGAAATTAACGTTGCAAGAGGTAGGGGGGTGCCTTTTGGAGTACAAGTGGTGCCATTTTTCGAGTATCTAAAGAAAATCAAAGTGTTCTGTTCTGAGACCTTGTTTTTTCTGTAGGTATAAGTCCAACAGTTAAATTCCTGTGTAGAAAGAGTATTATTCCAGGAAGGTAGAGCCTGTATGACATTTAAGTGAAATAATAATACTGTTCTAGACTGAGCTCAGCTGGAGTGAGAACTTCATGTGCTTGCATTTGCTCTCTTGAGAAATGCTTATGACAAATGAACATGCTACTTGTTGAGTTTTCACAGGACATAAACATTTGTTTTGCTGGTTTTATTCTTCCTTTTGCTTACATTTCACTTTGTTTCACTCAACTTTTGTTCTTATGTGGATTCGGGCAGCAGTACTTAACTTCTTCAGTTCTGCCCAGTCTCTCATCCTGTCAGCTTCAGTGCGTCTACTGAGACAACGCAGGATGGTTGTGACAAAGATGGGAATAATACACAGATCCTTTGTCTCATCTTACATTATCTCATTTTGACCATTGGAGTCTGATTATCTATGTGGGTTCTTTTGTAACTAAATCTCTAATTCTTAGCTAATTAATTCTCTACCAGTCCCTTTCATCTAACCCATCTTTCCACTGTGAAGGAATGTTTCCTTCATAACACCAAGTAACCATGAACAACAATTAAAATGAACTGGGATCAGCTATTACCGGTAAACTCTCCCATTTATACATGAGAAGCCAGGCTGATGCTTTTAGTACTTCTTATCCTCTTATTCTTTCTTTGTGGGTTGTAGCGGCAGAGATACATGCAATATGCTGAAACTGAAATGGAATTAAAGATGAGCTCCCTTGTGCTGAATTGTGGAACAACTCTTTAGGTTAAAGTCCCTTCTCTGCAAGCTCTTCTCTTCCCCTTCCCCTGACACTCCCTCATGTTTTGACGACCATATTTCTGTTGGGTTTTTTTTCTCTTAAACTTTCAGGTACATTATGGTCCCAAGTGGAAACATGGGGGTATTTGATCCCACAGAGATCCATAACCGAGGACAACTGAAATCACACATGAAGGAAGCCATGATTAAACTAGGCTTTCATCTGCTCTGTTTCTTCATGTACCTTTACAGGTTAGTTTCAAAAATTGCTCCCAAGAAACAAAGGAATTGTCTGCCAGCTATTTTTATCTCCTCTATTCTGCTAGTGTAATGGCTGGTATTCCTAAGTGTTTTATCTTTTTGCATCCTGCTAAGCCTCAATAATATATTTTGACAGCTATCTCCAGGCTCATTACGTGCCTTTGTTCTTTCTGATCCGACATTGTTTGGAAACTCGGACTACCCCTTAATCTCAAACCAACTATAAGTACAATATAAAGAGTTTTATGATTTCAGCACCTAGAATAAGTGGCCTATTTAAAATGGAAATCATCTTGAAGACCAAGTTTATTTTACAAGCTCTGTTTTAGAAAATAAAGTTGATCTGGCTAAGTTAAAAACAGATGAGTTCTGTGATGGGGCCGCTTACTACAAGATGGAAGAACTACTGTTCTGCAGGATTACTTCTGAAGTCCTTGTCTTCATAAGCAAAGCGCATAGCATAGTTGCTTTGACTTTCTGTTTCAGAATCAAGCACAGTTCTCTCATGAAAGTGATAGCTGTTTTTACTTTCACATGCTTCAGTAATCCACTGGTATCATGTTTTCTGTTTTGTCACAGTATGATTCTGGCTTTGATAAATGATTGAGACGTTGAAAAAGAACCATTAGCTGCCAAATTGGGTCATCACTCCAGTGACTGGTTGTGGAGCCACAGAACACCTTCTGAACATACCTAGATCAGTGTCGTCATGCAGTATATTTTTCCTCTTTGAACAAGAAATATTTTTCTGTATTTTTAACATAAAATATTTTCAAAAGACATTGGATTTGTGTAGCAGTTGTTTTTGTTCCTTTACAACCCAAAGTGCTGGACCTGCTGCTTCTGTAAGATGAAATCTTTGCTTACAGAACCGATCTCATGGGAACTAAATGGTGAGAAGGGAAACTCGCTTCAGCAGCATGGGCTGGTAACAGTGGTAGTTCCAGAACAAATTTAAGTGTAGCTCTGATGTCTGCTTCTTACTGAAAGGTGTCAAGATGCGCCTCTGGCTGTCAAGCTGTCCTGTTAGAGACTAGTTTGAAGCAGCCCTTGGAACACAGATTTCAAAGTGGAACAGTAGTACAGCTTGCATCTTTGTGTCGGTGTTTTTTCCAGCTAAAAAGCAATGGAATAAAAGTTAATGCTTTTCTCCCGTTCCACCCCTCCCTCCAACAACCTAGATGAAGTCTTGTGTTTGGATTGATTAAGGTCCCTTTGGTGAAAGTGACACTTGTGTGTAAGAGTGAAAACCAGATAAATAAGAAATATGATTAATACCTGCTTTTTTACTTCAACTCCTATTTTGTCATTGAAATACATCATAGACCTCCATACTAAGTAAACATCATATTGCACTGGTGTTGGAGTTGGTCACAAGGCAAAAGACTATCTGCAGTCACTGCTCCATGAACCTGCTCTTTCCACATCCAGTGAGGTGAAGCAACAGTATGTCTAGCCCGGGAAGATGGTTTGGTAAACCACAACCCAGTTATCCTAATTCTGATGTAACTCAGCTTCAAAGACGCCAGCAAACCAAGTTCTTCTTGTGTGGCTCTTGCATCAGTGATAAGTATATAAACCTGAGTTTGTACCCTCACCATCCTTTTATATGTGCATAGAAACAGTTCTTTTGAAACAAACAAGTGAAACACTTCAAAAATACAGTACTGTAAGTCCTAAAATTTATGAGTTTCTCCTTAAGTACTTGTTCTTTGGTGTATAGCTGTAGTTAGCAGGTTGTTTTCATGGCCAGCAGTGAAAAGACAACCCTGAAGCTTGATTTCTCTAGGTGCCTTGTGTTCAACGTTTGTTCTAAGAAAAGTCTGGCTTTAAATTATGATGGATAGAGTCCCAAGTTCAGCTGTTGCAAAGATGAAAAACTGCTGAAAATTACGCTCATTAAAAATAACCAAGGAAATACCTACCACAGCTGCATACCACTGACTACTTGACACCACAAAAATCAAACTACAGAAAGTACTGCCTTATAAAGCTGAAACCCAGACAGGATATAGGACTGGAAAAAGGAGAGCAAACAAAGCTTTTTTAAAGAGAGCAGTTTATATGGTAGGCAATTATCTTATTTGTATGTAAAAAAACCATACTACACATATGTTGGGTTTTATCTGTTAGAAGAAAGGGCAGCACTAGTAAGCTGCTCGAGTTAAGTCCTTGCTATAGTGCTAACAGTTGATAAATTTCATTATTGATGTTTCACACTGAGAAACGTGTCCATTAATCTGCAAGTCCACAACTTAAAAACTAACAAACAGTTTTACATCTTATTCTAAAGAAATGATTTTGAGAGAAGAGCTTTATTATTAATGGAAATGTTTGTAAGATACATTGTCTTCAGTGATTTCTAACTACCAGCACCTCAGAATTACAGTGATGACATTAGACAGGGTACACTTATTTTCTAATAGAATTGGTAAAATTTATCACTCGCTGTGAAAAGCTTCTATTCTCCCCTACTGAGGGAAGTGTGTTTTCAGAGATGGGAGCCAGACAGGGAAGGATAAGGAAAAACGAACAAAATATCTGAAAAAAAATAATGAGGGTCACATGTTTTAATTTATATCCCTGACCTAGAGGAATGTTATTGTGGATTCCTCCCCATTTCCTCCCTCAAGAATGAATTGTTAACTGTGACAGACCAACAAAAAAAAATAGATATGTTTTCTAAGTGGTTGTCAAATACTAAACAAGCTACAGTCATTTATCTCATGGGAGATGCACGGAGCACAGAAATTTTACAGTAGTAAAAACCAAAACCTCCCTACATTCTGGGTCTCTACTGGGGGAGAACAGGGTAATTTAAACGCAATCTTACTATACAGAATTCAAGACAATTACAAACTTTAGACTGACTTTAAATAACAATTCACCTAGCTTTATCACTATGGATCAGTATGAGACCAAAACACAGACTCTCTCCTGTTCGCTCACTGGAATGTATTTCCCTTTGGAACCAAGGTATCCCAAGTATAACTTCCTGAGGGGACCATTAGCTTGACTGTCAAATGATTAGCTACAATTTATAGAAAGCTCTTAATCCATGAAAATTAATCCGAAGTTGGCTTACAGGGATTCTAACTTTTCACCAAGGTTATTTAGCTCTTTTCCTTACCCACAGCCTAGAGCCTGGTCATCCGGCTAAGATATTACTCATTCAACAGTTTTCAGAGAGATGAGATAGCTATTATAGTACTGCACTTGGGAGGGGGGGATTAGTTAAAATATATATGACAGCATATTTCCCCCTTATTAATCATGTTACAGACTGTTGGTTATTTATCTCGTTTTATTAAAGAATATACTTATCTCGTTCTAGTAAACTACTGTTTTATTCTAAAATAATTCTGTATTATGGAACATAGTAAATCAGTGGGATTAATGGTATGTCCAAGTAGTCCTAAGAATAGTTCTACGTGCAGGTTAATAATCAACCCGAAACCCTGATAAGTCCATAAAAGCAAATCTTTTACCTGTTCAGTATTGACATAGCTTTAATCTAATTCTTCTTCTTCTCACAAGATGCTCTCTAAGATTTTGTACAAAAGAAAAGACCGTTTTTGCCTCTAAGGATATTATGGTAATGATGAGATTGGAGGTGGTGGCAGAAAAAATTGGGCTACGTGGACCACCGTGCAGTTATTGGTATATTAACCACCTTATCTTTGGCAGAAACCTTAGAGGCATACAAACTTCAGTAGTTACTCTTCCGAGAATTATAGGCCTTTTAAAGCGAGGAGGCAACTGGGACTGCCCTCTCTCTGTAGGGAGTCAATAGCCTACGCGCGCGCAACCCGTGCAGGAGAGCAGAGGGCTGCGTCGGGCAGCACAGAAAGCACAGCCCAAGGGGTAAGGGGAGAGTAAAACAGAAAGTGTCCCCCTGGCGAAGCACCCTACACCTCAGGCAGTGTTTGGATTTAAGCTAATTATGAAACGCTTATCTACTACAGGTTCCTTATGTAATTTCTTTTCAACGATCTGAAGGGTTTAAAAAAAAATTACAATTCATTTTCAGTCTTTCATATGCTGAAATTTCAGAGTTCTATAGAAATCACATAGCTGTTTCTCTTGCATTCTTCTCACCAGTTAAAGGCAGACATAGGACAGCAGAGGAAGCACAGTGACAAATCCAGCCAAAAAACTGACTTCCTTCATCTGCTGTGTGGAGCATTTACAGCTGAAGCAGGTCTGCAATCTAACAACCCTCCTGCAAATCCTGGTACCCAAGGGAAGTGGCACGAAGCAGCACGTGGAAAGGAATAAGCATGCCCCTTCTGTTTGCAGCTGTATTTAAGCCATAATTATCTATACACTGCTTAAAGTGTAAGGGAGGGGAACAAAGTTAATACAAAGGTGATACCAGAGAAAGTAAAGACCTTTTCTAATCAATATAGAAGCTCAAAGAAATACAAAAACATGAAGTGGACAGCAAAACGTTTGAGTTTGGAAAAGATCCAGGAAGAGGAGGGCAAATTTAGGCACAGCTTTTTATTTCACAGAACATTAGCTCTATAGAGTTGAATATAAATGCCTAAAATGCAGGACGAAGATGAGGTTCTGTTTCAAGGCACAGGGAAGAGGGACAAGAACACAGCATTAGTTGGAGGCAACAGGGAAGAAGTAGGTTCAAGAGCTCTCAGCCACAAAAGCTGCTTAGGTCGATTTCAGATAGCCAGGAGGTCTGCGATCTCCAGTTTAAGAGAAGTCCAAGGAGGAGATGCAGGTACTTTAGGAGCACCTTCTTAATACGAAGTACCAAAAAACCCCACAAAACCCACAACCACCTAAAGCAACCTGTGTCCGGTATTCAAGCAAGCTCCAGTATTAAGGAATCGAGGCTTTCATGGAGCCTCAAGAGACCAGGCGTTCAAGTTAGCGAAGCACAGGACGGGACACAGGCAAGTCGACCGCTCCATGTACAGGGAAAACACAAGCGGGAGGTAGATTAGAGCCAAACGTCAAGAACTGGAAAGCCTGCACACAATGCTGCGTGAATTATTACTCAGCTAAACTGCCACAAATTGATTTTCCTAGCGAGAAAGTGAAATATTACAAATACGGAAGAAATCTATAATTAATGGTCAAGAAATTAACATCCAAGTCAGTCATATAAGTGAAGTTAGGGAAACTAAGAACTATTCATTCCAGTTATTTATTCTGTTTATTGAATTGAAAGAAAGGGAATACAAACATTTCTGTTAAGTGCTGTGCACCAACATGGAAAAAGTGTATTTTTTTTTTTAAAAATCCTAATAAAAACAAATCAGAAGTTAATGTAGTTCCAATTGAACAATTTTTAAAGATATGTTTAAAATACTACACATTTATAAAATAAAAAAGTTAAAACGGTGTTCTGTAAATAATTAGTAAAACAAGTGAAAATAAATACGAGACCCAAAGTTCTTATGTTTTTAATGTAATATAGCAAAGAAATTTTTAACTACTTAATATAATCCGAGGAGAGTAACAAAAATCCAGAAAGTTTAAGAACGCAATCCTTTGAAACATTTAATATCAGTCCATAGCAAATAGTCATTACATACCAAAAGCTCTAAGTGTTAACTAGTTCCACCACAACTCCATATAAATCTTGACAATTTAGAAATCTTGAGATCAACAATAAAGTTCTTTTCTTGATCTCTACAGCTTGGTTTGTAAGTACATACATGCTTTGAGGATCCATTTTGTCCCATATGTTTTCAAGGAGCCAATAACTTTTTCCATCTGTGCCTAAAAATGTTAAAGATTCAAATCTAGCACATATACCCTTAACAATGAAAAATGTATAAGAAAAAAGATGGGGCACAATGAATTTCAAATTTATAAAAATATACTGATATTAACCAAAACCTTCTGGTCAAAGGACACTTCACATACACACGACTTAAAGTATGCAATAAAACATGACGAGTACCTAGAACATTTGGTTCTCTGTCTGTTCATGGAACACATGCACACGCACATTCATACCAGATGGGAGGAACACTCTCACAGACGTTTTATTGAATCCAGATTATCTGGATTCATAGACAGAAAACTTGTCTACAGTTTATTTCAACAACTAGAGGCAGCTACTGCAGCAGTAGTTCAACACTGCACACTTCAATTAAGTCCACCCTGTTTAAAAAAGTGTCAGAGTTAATGATTTTTTTTTTTTTTCCTCCTTTCTTTCTTTCTAAACATTGTTAAAAGTAGCAGTTTTCAAAATTCAATATGGCAGCTGAAAATGGACTCAAGCCAATGTGGAAAAGACAGGAGGAGGTCAAAAGGAGGATTAACCATTTATGGGATGGGTGTTCCTCTTAATAGTTGTCTCCAAAAAAAATTAGAAGTGTATTTTGTAGCTAAAAATATGGACAAACTATTGAAAGTGCATTTTTCCTCCTCCTTGAGTTACAGTAGTTTGTCTGTTGGTCAGTGAATCCTGCTTTTTACGTTCATTCCTCTTTCTCTACCTCCCTCCCCATTTGGGTCTACAATATCTCCCCTCAAACTACAGCTAATTGTACGAGTCCTGGTTTCCCACTCAGGAAGCCTTCAAAACTGATTTTGGGTGGGAGTATCACTTAGCAGTGTAAAATTATACAACTAGACACAAACTCCCAAGCACATACTGAGATTTGTTAAACATTACCTGTTTGAAGCCAAGTTGAGAAGTAACTGGCAAGATCGGGATAGATTCCTAGCTTGAATCTTTGCTCTACTCATAAAAAGAAGTTAACTTTAAAGTTGGAGAACTTCAGAAAATACAGAGGGAATTTAAAACAAAGGTGTCATTTCCCCCCACTACCCTCCCCTCCAAAACAAGGACAGATCTAGCATTTTCCCTTTTCTGCTCCATTGTGCCTTGAAAATTACTTACCTGAACAGCTAAAGAACATTCAGATAATAACATGCTTCAGCATATTTATTTTTTTTTTTTAAGATCTGCCTCGACAATAACCTGGGGCTACTGTGAATATTTTAAGCCAACCAGAGAAAAGTCACAAAAGGAGTACACGCTTACAGTATTTTCCTCTCTAAAACCATAGGTCTGTTGCCTAGAAATACAGTGATTTATTGTGGGTGTGTGCTTGTTCCAGCCTTAGAATCCAGCCTATGAACATTTTTAAGCACATGGAAATCAACGTGTTGCAAATGAGCAAATTTATTTGTCATCCCCCCTCCCCGCCATAGTCTCATTTTATAGTCTGTGCACAAAAAGTATTGGTACTTTTCAATTCACATATTGTGAATATGTAACGTGTTAGAAAGTTTAGGTTCCTCTTCAGTCTACGGGTTGGAATGGCAGTCGTTACTGCTAGATCTATAATATCAGTTTACTGTGGGACCAAGTAGTGTGGGAAAAGGAAGATTACTCTCACCTTTCTTTCATCTCTGCTCATCACCTGCGAGAAGCAGACAGCTATGCAACACGCTGTTACTGAGACACTGCAAACAGTGCCGTCTGTATGGAGCTTTCCTTTACATTGCATCCTTGCAGCATGAAACTGAAGTGAAGATATGAGAACACGTGCTTCTCCCTAACTCTGCTTTTCTAAATATCTAAATTGTATTTGAGAGGTACAAACCACCATTTCCAGAAGAGAAACCCCAGAATGGAGGGGCTGTATTTTGCCAAAAAGTAATACGTTTAAATTACTAATTATAATGCGTTGCAGTGGAAAGTAGGCATCAGCCCATACACACCCCCTACACAGCCTGTACCAGGTAAGGAGTCTCACTTTGTTGAGATATGGCCACCGCATTAAAAATGCCTCTTGAAGTGCATATGAGACTTTAAATCTAAACTTGAGATTTGATCCAGCCTTCATCACCTGCCTCAAGTTCCCACTGCAAGTCCCACGAGTATGAGGTGAGCAAGTAGTGCCAGACCATTGTATGAGACTTTGTTAAGAAACATCAAAACCAGGATTATTCTCCTTACTCTCCCTAAATAGTGTTTTGTTTGAAAACATAAGTTCCAGAGTAAGACAACACTAGGGTAACTTTTGAAGATTCACATACTGGCATTGCTTATGAATGATACCATGTTTTGAACATATAAAACACTGTTTACAATTTAGGTGCTCAATTTTTAGTTAAACCCAAAGGTTTAGCTTTACTCAAATTTGACCTTAGGAAGTTGTCTGTTTCCCTGCAACACTGATGCCCCAGGAACAAGACTGACTAATCTTACACTGTTTGAACTAGAAAGAGAAGCAAACAGTTTCCTTTAGAACTAGCCAACAGAAGGAGGAACTGGTTTGTAGTCTTAAGTTTACACATGTATTCCCACTACCGTGAAACAGAAATTGGTATCACAGAAATTCACCTTAAGACAAATGTACTAGATTGACAATGAACGTCAAGTTTCTACTTCATTTTGAAGGTACTAGAAGAGGAGTATGTCAGATTCAGGGCTGGTCTCAACCAAAGTATCAGAATTAAGTTTACACACAAGGCAGGAAAAAAAAGCCCCACCAACAGATGGCTGGAATCTAAAAAATAATAATAATTAAAAAAAAAAATCTAACCTGCTAAGCTTCACTTTGTTTGTCTGGGAAAGAAAAAAGGGACTGCTTATGTTAAACACCACATTCTCATTCATCAAAGTGGCTACACTTCTCTTCCCAGGAACTCCGGCAAACTTTCCCCCACCCTTCTTCCTCACATGACTAATAAGGACACTGGATCATTATCTCACTAAAGGATGAAGTCCACACTTCTGTTCACATCAATTCTTGGTGGCGTGCCTTTCCCTGCTCCCTCTATACTTCACAGCAGTACCAACACTACCTTTCCAACCAAGGTGGCAAAAGGGAATGCGGTGCCATCCCATAACGAACTTGTGTGTAGTGCAGAAGCACAGAGATGCCAGGCCATCTGTTTACATCAAAAAGAATAAATACTTAAATTATAAATGTCCTTCTCTTTTCTTGACATGGGATATTAGTGGAACTATTCCTAGATGTGTCGAGATGTTCACAGCACCAACTCGCAACAAGGTCTGGGAGAGGGATTTCAATGTGCAAACTTAAAAAGTATATTCTCAAAAAGAAAATCTATACACCTTGTTTATCAAAGAAAAATTTCCATCGTAATACAAGTGTTTAATTATGATTTGTATGTTAATTACTTTTACAAAATGTTGACTTTGTGAAGAAAGGACTCAACACATTCTTCCCTTGAGGTGTAGTCTACCTTTTACCAGCATTGTTGCATATATTGATGTAGTTAAAAAAAAAAACCAACAAAAAGACCTCGTCTTGTTTAAACTCTTAGTCTGGTGGTGCACTCTGAATGCTTTTTTTTTTAAGTATCTGTAAAGATGGACAGTGAGTTTCTCCTTCTAAAACAAGCTTCCCTACCTACATAAAGCTCCTTCCAGCCACTGCTTTTGATTGGGTCTCAAGACACTCCAGAAAAGCATCGGTGATACCGTGTTTCACGACACTTCTTGCATTGTTTTAATTCCAAATGTATACAAATGAAGTCATTTTAATCCTATAAATAATTTATTTTTAAAAAATTGTGCTGTTAACCCCTTTGCAGGGCAACGAGCTATGTGAAAAGTACAAAACTTTTTGTCAAATGTGATACTGAGAGTGCTTTTGACACAGTTCATTGGTTTATCATCTCAATTTATATATACTGCGCAACGGGCAAGGCTAGAATCCATGAACCAAGCTGCAAAGATCTCAAGCTAAGTAAGGCGGAGAGAGACTTGAGAAACAAGAGAAGGAAATACTTTCCTATCCAATGTATACTCTTCAGACTAAAGCACTCTTTCTATCAAGCCTTCTAAACTGTTAAATAAAGTGTTCCAAACAAGCATTTAAACTTCATTACACAGAAGAGCAACAAGAACAGTAGCCTGCCAGACAAAAAGGCAGGAGGGAAAAATATATATATTGAGTTCAATGGTTAGCCTGAATGTAGCACAGTTCTTCACAACCGATGGGGGGGTAATTTCAACACGGTGTCCAACAACGTTCTAACGACGTGCTTCATCTCGACTGGTTACTATGAAGCAAGGTGGTAAATGTTTGGCCCCAACCGGGCTTCAGAAATGGTTCTTTTTCATGACGAGCATGTCTGTCCAGCTATCAATCATGTTTGTTTGCACCAAATCCCAAGCCATTTAAAATACGACTAATTAAGTTAAACTGAAGTCGTCTGCTCCAAATTCGCCATCAACTATCCATGCTACTGCATTCCTCTGAGCAAAAACAAAAACATAAGAGAAAGAAATCACACCTTAAAGATCTTATCAATAGTTAGTATTTCTATTATAAGGTCATTAATACAGTGTATTGACATAACGCATTAGTTAATGGATCTTGTACTGGAACTAAATCCCATGCTAAAACTTACTTATTTTAGATATCACTATACATATTATTTTAGAGATTAATTTAGCATGTTAGGTGTTGGTAACAAAAAGCATCTCTTCCAAAAAGAAGTAACACACATTTTGCATTCCAGTTCCAGGGAAGTGTGCTCATTACAAAGCTGTCTGTCATCCATTTAAGATTCCCAAGTTGTTAGGTATTATTCCATGCAGCTACACCTCTTGTGGAAGCACTGCTGTGAGAAATCCATTTTCTGTTGTTTTGATTTTTATGGCGTTTACTAGCTCATTTTCTGGAGGAACTATGAAAGAGTGAGCAAGCAGCTAATTGGAGAAAACAAACAAACAAAACCATGAGTAAAAACCAACTGGAGGGTAGGCTCTGAGTCCTTATGGGTTCATTCAAGGTGTTACAAACAGGAGATTGGCCAGGCTGGTCCACCTAGTCCGAGACCAGAAGCAGATGCGTCAGAAAGCACAGGAGCAGGGACAGGAGGTAATTCTTCCTCCTAATATCCTTCCAACTGTCAGCCATTTTCACCTAAGGGACATTCTGAACTAGAGGAGTTTACTTATCTAGTGGCAATCAATGGATTTCTCTTTGATTACTTTGTCTGGATTCCCCTTGAACTTGTGTCCACACCTAGTATCCATGAGGTCCTGTTGTATTGTCTCTCTCCTGGACACAGATGATTACTGATGGTTAGGAAAGAATCAACTGTGAACAGATTTTACAGTGGGAAACTACACTCTCCAGACTTTAGAGATTCCTTTTGTAATCATTGTAATACCATTATTCAATTTGCAGCGTGGTAAGAATGTGTTCTTTAAATGTTAACAACATTGTATGTTATTAAGCCTCAAGCATTGGAGGCAAGATTTTTAATAATTCTACCTAAATAAGTAAATATAATCCTGAGGTCTTAGTGACACTACAGTTTTCCATAGGGCCACATCAGAAGTATGTGTATCATTATGGAAATACCAGTAGCTTCATCTTTATTCCAACAAATATAAATAACTCAGATAAAAATCAACCGCCATACATAAAAAAAAATCATCAGAAACTTTTTTTTTTAGTAAATGTAAAGATTCTAACCCAAGAGTTAAAAGCATTTTTCTATCCCATTTATGGTAAAGAAAATCCACCAAGCCAACTGCCTTTGGTGTAAGCTTTTAATGATTAGAGAACACACACAGTTTTTTACCTTCAATATCCTGGTTGTCTACGAAAGGCGCTGGTCCCCATATTCTAACAGTGCCATCATCAGAGGCGCTGGCCATCATGGATGGAATCTGCGGGTTCCAGCTCACACAATTAACAGTACGCGTGTGCCCTGTCAGCTCCGCAATTGGCAGCTCACTACGCTTGTGCCAAATATATACTTTGTGATCTAAATAAAATATGCATTTAAAAAAAACATGAGAAACATTGTTCTGCTATGATTTGTCACATCAAATAACACTTCCACACAAGCTCTCAGCAACTAAAAAATCCATTTATGTTGCAAAGCCCATGTCTAAACCCCCATCTGTTCAATGTGCAACAGCACTAACAAAATTTTTCTTCTAAAAGTGATCAAAAGAATAAGGGTGAAAGCTCTTCCACTAAGAGACGCATTCCCTTTTAACACTTGCAAGTCTACTATGCTTGGTATTTGACGAAAAGTATTTTACTACAATGCAAATCGTGTATGAAATACATCTTGATACTAAAGACCTAAAACGTTCCAATGAAAGTGCAAACACAAAACCTGCTAGAAATAGAATAGTGAACTGGTCAGACACTCCGCTGCAATTTTTAGAGAAGTGTTACTGCTTTATAACCAACCATTTTCAAGAATAAATGGCTAAAGGTGGTTCGGGTTTTTTCCAACTGTAGACTAGCAGCTTTTAATAAGCCTGTGGGTTGACATCTCTAAGAACATCTTTGGAATATTCCAAACAGATCTATGCAAACTGAACAAGTATGCATTACTAGTATTACACAAAAGCCTAGTATTTAGGTCTAGCATATGAAATCAAAATATTTTAATCTATCTGAAATGTTTTAATGTAGATGTCATTCTGAAGGCTTAGCAAACCAACCAATCTTCTTCTATTCCTCCTCCCAAGCCCTTACAAAAACTTTCTCTCTCACCGACCTCCTAGAATATCATCATGGAACCATGTGATAACTCAACTGTCTTCTGCTGAATCAGCTCATTTGAGTATACCACCTTTATGTATCTTGCATTGATGCAAGTGTTCTGGTTGCTTTTACATTCCACTTAGAATTTCAAGAGACTACATATCCATGCTATTGATCAAACAATACAATTCACTCTCTCCTTAAACACTGGACACGCAAGGCTCTGCTGTCTGGGAGAATCAAAGCCTAAACACAAACCAGTATTTTGGTGCTTGTCAGAATGCCTGTATTTTGTTCTGGAAAAAACACATTTGCTAGACTAAGGCAGCAGTCAATTTCCCTTCTCAGAAAGGGACCTCTATTTTCTTCCTAGTGATGCAACTGTTCGGAAAAAAACCTACCTGGCTGACAACGTACATCAAGAGGTTATGACAATCCATTACTTTTTTTTTTTTTTAAAAAAGGCTATGACAACATGATCTGTTATTTTTGTTTTGTTTGCTTGTTTGTTGAGGCTACTTTGTCAGTACCCACATTTGTGACAATTCAGTGCAAAGAGGCAACAGCTTCAGACAGTCCAAATCTAAACAGAATGCCATCAGTTTCAACTACTGCTCAGTAGGTTTTAGACAATGAAAGTAAGAATAAATAAATGGGGGAAAAAAAAAAAAAAGGACTGGTGCACTGTAGTATCTACAACACACACATCAGTATGGCTCAACACAAATCTCAAACTTTCAGGTACTCAGGTCCTAAACCAAGAACCTTGTTCAACCATGAAGAGGTTCACACTGCACTGGAGGACTGGAGGTGCTGTCCTTCAGTCATATTCTACTAGGTCTGGTCAGAGGGTGAAATTTGGTTTTCTTTTAGATATATTCGTTATTTTCCAGAAGAAGCATAGTACTAAGGGTCCTGGCAAACCTTATTTCCCAACAGCTGTGAGTTACGTAGTACATAGTCCAAGCATATTGGTTCAACAAGGCCAAGTGCCGGGTCCTGCACTTGGGTCACAACAACCCCATGCAGCACTATAGGCTTGGGGAAGAGTGGCTGGAAAGCTGCCCGGCAGAAAAGGACCTGAGGGTGCTGGTCAACAGCCAGCTGAATATGAGCCAGCAGTGTGCCCAGGTGACCAACAGCATCCTGGCCTGTATCAGGAATAGTGTGGCCAGCAGGACTAGGGAAGTGACTGTCCCCCTGTACTTGGCACTGGTGAGGCCGCACCTCAAATACTGTGTTCAGTTTCGGGCCCCTCACCACAAGACAGACATTGAGATGCTGAAGGATGTCCAGAGAAGGGCAATGAAGCTGGTGAGGGGTCTATAGCACAAGTCTTATGAGAAGCGGCTGAGGGAACTGGGGTCACTTAGTCTGGAGGAGGCTGAGGGGAGACCTTATCGTTCTCTACAACTACATGAAAAGAGGTTGTAGAGAGGTGGGGGTCATCGTCCTCTTCTCCCAAATAACACATGATAGGACACAAGAGGCAACGGCCTCGAGTTGCGTCAGCAGAGATTTAGGGTGGATAGTAGGAAAAATTTCTTCACAGAAAGCGTTATCACACATTGTAACAGGCTGCCCAGGGAAGCAGTGGGATCACCATCCCCGAAGGTATTTAAAAGATGGGTAGATGTGGTGTTTGGGGACACCGTTTAGTGGTGGTTTTGGTAGTGTTACGCTAATGGTTGGACTCGATCTTAAAGGTCCCTTCCGACCTAGACAATTCTATGGTAATTCTTAGCCCTACATAGGCTTGAATCTTAAGTGACCTCCATGGGACGTGATGACACTACATCAGTGACAGAACTGAACTTATTCAAGATATAAACCTTTAACTAATTTTTATTCTTGCCACATAGTTGAGTAAAAACATACCACAAAGCCTTTGATCACTAAGAAACCTTACCAGACTATGTCAACAACTGCTTAATTTGAGACTACTCTGTCCGTAATTAGGATGACTCTACCGAAATTAAAATAACCTCACTACACGTATATCTTCAACAGGCAAATGAAGCTGTTAGTCCCCAGAATTATTTTTTGATTCAAACCATAAGTCTAAGTACTATACCACAAAACAAAAGCCTCAAGAACACCCCACCCACTTCTAATTAAAACTGCGCAGACGCTTTACCTTTAAAGGAGCCACACAGAAGAGTCATTAATACTTTCTACGACTACCATCCTCTCAAAAGATACTTTCTGATAGCACACAATTATTTCTTGAAGTATGCCACAATCTCAGTACACCTCAAACTTATTTAATGAGCCAGTTGCTTGCTTTTATAGATGACAGTTGCTAACAACAACATTATAAAATTAAGTAAAGGAAGGATACAATGTTCCAGTTTTCTGCACAAAGGGGAATGATGTTACCTTCGCTGCCACTTGCAATGAAATCTTCATTATGACCTCCAAAACATGAGTGAATTGTGTAGAATCCTTGCGTAACACCTTGATACTTTCTCACTAAAACTCTGTCTTGTAAGTCCCATAAGTGAACTCCCTGCGAATAAGAAGTATAAAGAATGTTATTTTACCATTAAACGTTATTCATTGCATTCTTTTGAAAAAACACCAAAAAAATTAAATGTGAAAGTACATTACTTTAGCCAACTTCAGTACTGTTACTAGGATAAAAGAATAAAGATATACCAAATTACTAGATTAAACTTCCAGCCTGTGGTCCCTTCTGTTCTGAAAGCTCCTATTCTTACCCAAGGTTCCAAAAGTAGAAACAAATAAATAAAATCTAACTCTCACAGCCCCAGACATGTCAACTTGCCACAATTCTTGCCGTACCTGTCTTCTCAATGCAATAGCTAGATATTAACATTTAATAGCACGTATCTCATAGCATGGAACTCTTGACTTGACTGTAAATTAGTCAAAAAAAGAAAACCAACAGTCTCAAGAATGATTGCTTTTTGTCAGATAATGCCATGCTATACTTATGAATATTAAGGCCTTCGTATTACATGAAATACAACTGGTTAGTATCAAACATTTCACTTTGCATCAGAATACTTAAAACCTGGTAGCAGTTACAAGCAGATTTATTTGCACTTCCATTTATCATCACCAACTCACCTGAGTTGCTACATTTAACAAAGCTAAACGGCCATTTTTTGAAATAGTAAACGACATAATAGGGTGATCTTCTTGTACTCTGAAATGATAAGACACATCAGTGTTAAGAGTACACTTAACCAAACAATGATGTAACACCAAGACAAAAGGCAAGTTCTTTCTTTGCAATAGTACCAGGGAAATACAGTTCTGAATTTGAAATTAGGTATGTCTCTATGTCAGTATAAGCCAGGTCTGCAATAGTTTGCTTACACTTATGGACATATCCCAAGACCAAAAGGCACTTCAGACCTCAAATCCGACTCCTAACCTCAAGGCAGGGTCTACTAAAATATGCCAAGAATCAAGACGACGACAACTCCTGATGACAGAAATGTCAAGACATCCACCAGAAACCTACTCCATTGCTTATGAAGTTATTTCTAATACTTGATCTAATGCTTCTTGCTGCAACTGTTCCCATGTTATTCTCCTCCTCCTCTTTTAATATCGAGAGCATTTTAATATCTTATTTTCCATCCTGCCCCACAAATGCTTCCTCAATCTTCTTCTGACACCAAGAACCAGGAGTTTAAAAATCAAAGAAAGAGGTAGTTACATGTTCCTGTCTGTAAGATCCTCAAAGTTATAACCCCGAATTCGCTGGTGTGTGTCCGATGCTAGAACAGTTTTCCCATCACTCAAGCACCAAAGGCATTGTACTCTCACCCCTTCCCAGGAGTCAAGGAGATTACCATCTAAATCCTGATCAGAAGAGAGGAAAAACAAAAACAAAAACAACCACTATTAGTCTCAAATTTCTGAGGAGTTGTGACACAAGTATCTTTTTCACCTTCTGTTCAGACAGTTATGACAGAAACCATTCTTACCCTGTAAAAGAGAGAGGACTTAGTGAATTAGAACTTGGTTGCCTTAACCAAGAGCTTTTGTAGGTATCTGTCCTGGAGAGCTGCGAATCCCTTTTGTCACTTTTTTTCTTGAGCGTCACACGTGCAATCTACATCACGCCACAGAGCTCACCTTGGTAGTGAGTGAGGTTTGCATACTGCACTATTATTCTGGGCACCGATTCAGCTAACAAATAATCAAGAGTAGGGTGAGACACCGGACTACCACCCAAAAATCAACACTAGTGAAGTAATGAGGGTTTCAAAATTTCTGCTTACACTAAGCAAAGACAGCGTGCAAAAACTAAGAGAGACATAGTAAAAAAACCTGTGGAATAGACATTTGTAGACAAAGGCACTACTTTTTATTAGTGTATTTTCTAGAGCAGCTAAAGAAAAAATTCCCAGCCCACAAACCATCCTTTAGGCAGAGGAATCCTTCTACAGAAGATGCCTGAATCCTTCTAACTGCTACATAAAACCAGAAGTGCTGCTGAAATACTAGTGTTAATGTGTTGCTTCTCTGAATTACAAGGAATCAGAAGCTTTAGTGTACACACACAAAAACCCATGAACCTCATTTGACTGTGACAAAAGTTTCACTTCTTGCTTTGTTTTCAATGGTACAGATGAAAAGAACTTACACATTGATAGAACTGTCCACGCTGACCTCCTGTTACAAAACGCTTCCCATCAGGATTCCAGGCCACGCTTGTTAAACTGTCTTCATGAGATTGGCTCATCTTTGTCCTCAGCTCCCCAGTCTGGAAAATAAACAAAGGCAGCAAGGCCTTATACTGGAACCCTTTCCCAAAAAGGCATTGGTAATTTTATGACATGCATACTGTTTGAAGTGCATTATTTCAACAAGTTTATTAAAAAGCAACAGAAACCTATGAATAATGCAATAAAAAGGCAGAACTACTTCAGTATCTCCAGTAACCCTGGACTTGATTTGGGACAATTTCTTTTGTCCCTGAAATCAGGAGAGATGAACTAGTCGGTGTGTCAGACAACTGGAAGATTATGAGTAAAGACAGGAATTAAAAGAAGTTGGAATAACACAGAAAAGATGAGCAATATGAAATGAAAACAAACAAACATGGAAAGCGAAGAGGCAGGAGGAGACCAAAGGAAATGGAGATAACAAAATACATTTTAGTAAAAAGTTGGAGTATCAGAGTATTTAGAACACCTTCCTCCCTGAGCTGGAGCTCTCCACACTAAATTTAGCTTTCATCCCCAGTTTATAATACTACTGTTTCACATGACAAAGACACAGTAAATGGCTTACCACTGTCAAAACAGTAGGGGCTTCTCTCTATTCCCTTGTGCCAGCTCTAGTGCCCTTCACTGAGCCAATTTAATCAGTTAAACAGAAGAAAAGTATTCCAAGGGTGAAAAGAAGGAAACATTTGTGTTTTAGGAAACTAAATTAGTTTGGAGTTCAAGACAGCAAAAGAAAGACTATATAAACCGCAACCGAAGCAGGAGAAGCTTTTATATCAACTCAAGTGCCCATTAAAAAAAAAAACAAACCACCACAATAGCAGAAAAGGGGTTTCAAACTCATGGAGGAAGTGGCTAAATAACCTAGTGTCGCACTGAAAGACAAAGTTCTGAAATAATAAGTTTAAGCCTCCGCGAACCTTCCACCAACATCACTGGGAAGGTTACAAAGTAAAAGTGACTTGTATCTTTTACTTCTGCTACTTGTCAAAACCTTCAACGAGCAATTGCTCTCCTTACATGACAATTCTGCCTTCTGTTTCTCTTGATTAATTTACTCTGTTCATCTCTGCAGTTGCTCTCTAAGGTCCTATGGATTTACACCATCCCTTCTCAGAAACAATCAGGAACCAGATACACTAGAATTGCTGCACATTCCTGGGCACTTAGACTTGAGCTGTAATTTCAGTTCTGTACAAACTGAAAACTGAATCTGTAGGCTGCCATAGTCTGTTTCTCAAATTAGGGGAAAAAAAAGATCAGTCTCTCTTCTTTATGTAATCACACCTTTGTACAACCAGTTTGTAGCAGTGACTTCCTTCATGCTTAATGTATTTAAATACTGAAACAAAAGCAGTAGGCTTACCACAAAGTTTTGTTTTTCACTCTTAGTCACCACTTACTTGTACATTCCAGAGCCAAAGCTCAGAACAATCATCTGGGCCACAGGCAACAAGATAGTTGTCATCTGGACTCCAAGCAATATAAGAGACACCATACGCGTGACCTTCTAACGTCTTAAGTAGTTTTAGCTGGTGAGTATCCTGAAACAGGAGAGATTCTGTTAAGACAATGCAAATGAACTCCTACTAGATTTCGCATATACAGCGTGTCCAAGTACAGCATAGCAAGTTTGCTTTATGCAACTTGGCACCTGCATTTTACAAGACATGAATAAGTTCTTACTGGAAAGGCAGTTGCTAGCTTACAGAGTAGAACTATAAAATGAATGCTTTTAAGTTTCAACATGCAAAACAAGAACACTTGTAGATAATTTTGTTCTGATCTCCCGTGATTCTGAACGTGGAACTCGAAGTACTGTTGAGTGCAGAGTTCTGCATTACATTACACTTGTTTTAGAAGCTTTCTGTAGTGTCAAGTCTCTCTACATCTACTGGTATACAAAGTACTATTATGCATACTTTACAGAATTAAGTTAACTTTCTTAAAAGTAAAGATGTGCTGAAAACCTGTTATGGTTAAACAGAGAACTAAAACCTCCATGCATGCTGAGAAGGGAAAAACCTTCAAGTGCCAATGTTTTTATAAACTTGAGTATATCTTGTGTATGCTGCTCAAGAAGTTTTACAAAAAGATATTTTTAAAAGCTTCCTTGAGAGGTGTTCTTATTTCAGAAGTGCTGCCTACAGCAAGCTGTTGTATCTTTTCTGCCAGATTTAGTGAATGAAGCATACTTCTCTCACACAGAATATCTTGTATCACCTTTATGCTACAACTGTTCTACTGCTACCTTGTCAGAGGAACTTTACTTTCAAGCAGCTTAACAAAATAAATAGTACAGCTAGACACTGTGAAACAACCATACACCAGCTTCCTAAATACAAAAACCAGCTTCAATACAGTATCAGCACTGATTCTTGACAGCAACATGCATACACAGAAAGTAGAACTGAGCTTGTTAAATTGTTGACAGTAATTTTTATGAAGCCTGTTGGAAAAGGGCAAGTGGATTTTCCTCCCCCACTTCTTCCCCCCTCCTGCATGGGGGATGTTTATACCTCCTACTTATCTTCAAAAAGAGTGACTCATTTGAAAATTTAGCTTGATTTCTCACATTGTCCCTTCTCTTTCTTTTGTTTTAGTATTAATCAGCAGAGCACCTCTTGATTCTAAAGAGAAAGAACACAGTCAACAGAGGAACAGAGTGACACAAAGAACTGTTTTCTGGGATCAGCTCTGAGGGATTTGGTGACTCTCAGCCAGCCTGCAGCTTTGAAGGTTCTGTTAGCTAGAAAAGCTAAATTCCTCAAAAGAAAGTGCACTAAGAATAATCTTCAAAGCACAGAGAAAGAAGGGGCAAATAAACGGACCTCCTCAAGTCCCCTTTTCCATTCTAATTATTATTCCTGGTCTGCATTAGACACTGCTGTGCCTGTAGCTAAACTGATCTGTAAGGAAACTGAGTCATGTCTGACATCATCGCACATCCTGGAATGTGCCTGCAACTGATGTTTCTTTTTACATCAGGACTAAAGTAGCCTGTCACTTCTGCATCACATTTGATATTCCTCTTCTAACAATAGTAATAGCCACAAAGTACCATCTCTCATTCTGCTCTCATACTTCTCTCCAAATACAGCAGAACTGCTATACCATGTTTTCCTCTAGAACAGCAGTCAATGGTATTTCAGGAAATGTCCCCAAATTTAGTCAATCTGCTTCCCACCCACCACCAAAAGAAATCTCAGCACTACTGTCCCTTATATATAGCTTCCCAGATTTTTGCTATGTAGAAGAAACAACTGTTCAGGTATCAACTTAAGTCTGTAGTAGTTGAGCTCATTGGCTGAAAAGCCAAAAACCTGTCAACAGTTTTTAGAAAGTGCAGAAAAGAAAAAAAAAAAAAAAGGAAGGTTTCTGTAAGGAAAAAGATAAAAGGAGAGCTCTATCCAAGAAGATGCATGCCAGACAAGGTGATGCGCCTACTGTGTTTATCCTTTGTGCTCTAGAGATTCTGCCATACTTAGTAATAGTCAAATAACGTATTCCACAAAGAAAACCAGTTCACTCAAGACATCATTTAATGCTGCTGAGTCTGCATATGAACTTTAAAATGAACAAATGAAAATGAAAAACAGAAGCATGGGTTAAGACAGCTTAGGCATGTAGCTGGGTCTTAGAAAAGAAATAAGAAAATCATGGTATGAAATGAAGAAAAGACGTGGAAGCAACGTCATCACACTTCAAGAGAGGTGATGAAAAAAAGAAAGGGACAAAATGAAGGATTCTCACACACACGAAGCATGTGTGGAAAAAGAAATACTGTTTATTTAAAACAGCGTTCTCCCATCACCTGCCCAGACAGAGTTGGACAGAAGTTTCCTTGTAGTTTATACATGAAGATTAGAACAATTCTAAATACCTAAAGCCTTGAAAACTTATGGTTCAAAAGACGTTGTCAACTGCTACAGGAAATGTGAGAAGCATGCTCTGGCAAATATGAAAATAAACAATATTTGAGTTATGTGGCCTAATGTTATTTAGGCATCCACCTCTTTGAAAGGGTTTCAATTAAATTAATTTTATTTTTTTTTTAAATTACTCAAGTAAAGAAGATAAACCGCTAGAAACCTGCTTTCCCACTAACTATTTATTAGAAATTTTGTTCCTTTAGCAACTCTTGGCTAAAAAGGTTAGTTGAAAACACTCACAAAACATGTGGTTTGATTAACCAGATATCAGCTAACAACTCACTATAAAATGTGCTAATCCATATGCTGGGTATTAAAACACACCAATATAAAAAGGCCAATGGAATCCTGGGCTGCATAGGGAAGAGTGTGACCAGTAGGTCGAGGGAGGTCATTTTCCCCCTCTACTCAGCACTGGTGAGGTCACAACTGGAATACTGTGTCCAGTTTTGGGCTCCCCAGTTCAAGAGGGACAGGGAACTGCTGGAGAGAGTCCAGCGAAGGGCAACTAAGATGACTGAGGGATTGGAGCATCTCCCTTATGAGGAAAGGCTGAGAGAGCTGGGACTCTTTAGCCTGGAGAAAAGAAGGCTGAGGGGAGACCTTACTATTGCTTACAAATATCTAAAGGGTGGGTTGAAGGAGGATGGAGCCAGACTCTTCTCGGTGGTTCCCCGTGACAGGGCGAGGGGCAATGGGCACAAGTTGGAACATAGGAAGTTCCGTTCCGATACACGGAAAAACTTCTTTACAGTTCGGGTGACAGAGCACTGGCACAGGCTGCCCAGGGAGGTTGTGGAGTCTCCTTCTATGGAGATTTTCAAGACCCGCCTGGATGCAGTCCCGAGTACTGTGCTCTGGGCAATCCTGCTTTAGCAGGGGAGTTTGGACTAGATGATCTCTAGAGGTCCCTTCCAACTCTGAAAATTCTGTGATTCTGTGAAAAGAAAGATAGGCCTCTAACGATCAAGTGAGAAGTCAACTACAAAAACATTTGATCCTTACTTTACTTAGAATTACTCTGTTAAAAAACAAAACAAACCACTCACAAAAAATACAGATCATTTCCTAACTAAATAACAGAAGTCAGATTATGCTGTTATAAATCTCTTGGCCCAGAGCACACTGGCACCAGTAACAGACAAACCACAATGGTTCTACGCCTGAAAAATCCATAGCACCTGCTATTAGTTCAGCGGGTATATAACTATGCACACGGAAGAGGGTTTTAAGTTCTCTCATCTTCTTAATAGCAAAAATGGCTCAAATTGTACGGCTTCCTAACCTGTAGTGGAAGAGGTGGATTAAGTTCAGCTCTCAAATCCTACTGAAAGCCAGTATGGAACTGCAAAAATATTTCATCTTCCACTTAGCACAGCAGTTTGCAGGTTAAAAACTGTAAGAATCTTATTTCTGACAGTGTTTTACAAGCATTACTAAGTTCAAATATTGTGTGCCTACGTTCAAGTTTATTCAGTTTTCAGTTGTTATGAAATACATGGACATACTTTCATATCACTTCTACAAGTCAATTAAAACAGTCTTAGATTCACCACACAATCTTTTTATTTACATAAGAATAGATATGGGTAGGAAAGATAAATCTTGTAGCTGTAGGATATTTTGTTTAAGAGAAACAGTGCCACATATTAGTAGCAAAACCTAAAACCACAGTCTGTCAGAAAATGGATGGCTATAATTCCATGTGTCACTGAATTCTGACAAGTGTTTAAACCTTCGTTTCAAGCCAAGGCAAATCTTAAAACAGCAACTAGCATGAAGTGGTATACTGATACAAATTTAGTTTAGCACATACCATTTTATTACTCGGAAATAAAGTAGTAACTGGTGAAACGGATAGATCCAAGTGTACTAGTAGCAACAAGGTAATAGAAAGGGGTTAGTCACATACACAGATCAGAAGTACTCCTAGTGAGAGTGACTTAGAAGAAAGGCTCCTCACTGCCACGCTCTGCCACTCTCCCCCAACGCTTCTCGAGGCCTTCCAGCTGAGAAGCTCCCCTGGAAGGCACCAGCAGGCTCTGCCCTGTGGTGCTGGTTAGGGGCACACAAAGTTCCTGCCGCAAAGCGGCCAACAGTTCAACAAGCCCGTTACACTTAGGCATCAGGTTTTCAAACATCCTCCTTCGCTAACTTACACTGACTGTGATCTTCAGTCCTTTACACTGTAGTCGGCAGCCTACAATACACGTCCTACAAAAATCAAACCATCCTAGCAAGAGAAAGCAGAGAGGGAAGGGAAAGACAAGTCATACACATGTAACACATTGCACACTTACTGGATCAACCTGCCATATAATAACAGTTGTGTCCTTAGATCCTGTTGCTAGTTTAGTGCCGTCATTGGAGAATTTACAGAACCACACTTCATTACAGTGCTCCGTTAGTATCTGCTGTGTATAGCATGGGAACTGTTTCCTGGGAAAAGAAAGGTATGTATTTGCAGATTAATAAGAAAGCAGTAAGAAATTTTTAAATCAAGCTAGAAAAAACTAAAACAAAACCTTATTTAAATGCATGACCAGACAACTTGGAAAATTCCTCTATTAACAGCTGCTTCAAATAAGTACAGAATGAAGTGTCTTATCTGGTAAAAAGCTTGCACCACCAAGCGATCGTAACTAATTTTATGCACTTAGAAATATTCTTATTCCACTCACACAATTTGTTATGCTTTCATATAACTTGGAATAAAACTGACCTCATTAGGAGTGTAACAGCTTATTACTATACACTGTACTATATGAAGTCCAAACCTCTTTGAACCCTACATGCAATGTTTTATTTACATGTGAGGTTTTCATAAGTACCCAACTCCGCTGTATCTTGCCAAATCTTTAGAAGTGATTCTTACATAAAAGTTTAGTAAAAGAATAGTCTTATTTCTTTTTCTTGAATGTGATCTTGCACTAAGTTAGGTGGTTTTGTCTTCATTCTGTGCCATTTTTCCCTTTCTTTGCGGAGTATCACATACAATAACTAAGCATAACTAACACGATACCATTATGAGCTTTCAAGTTGAACTGTTTTCCCTCACAAAATATATGTTTTTTTATAAAACATTAAGTGTTTATCAAACAAAATATTATATGATAAACTACCGAAGGAGAAGAGTCAAATGTTTCTCTAGAGCTAGTATTTAATCTTCTAGTTGCATACTGAGGAAAAGCTAACAGCCAAAATACGAAGTTAGGTAAGAACTGAATACAAGTTTTATTTTACTTACAGCTTGCCCACTGTATAAGAATTTGAGAGCTAAGCTAAAATAAATGTAGGCTTTTACAGCAGATGACTGCTTTTATAAGTAACACTGCAATTAACTACGAGTTCATTGTTCAGATGCACTAAAAGGGAGTCCATGGAAACCATGGAAATTTTTCTCTTGCGCTGCAAGGATCCTGAAGTGGTTTAGTCTTATGCTGAGTTTTTATGGCACTCAGTGCAACACAACTCTAATGGGACACAGTGGTACTAATGTAACAATGACAGTCTCTGCAAATGTACAGTTGTACTTATCCCTGGAGATAAACTGGCCTCAAAAAAAAACAAACAACCCCAACCAACCCTACTTCCTTTAAATTTGTGTTTAAAAATACAGTTTGGAAGTAGTCAGGCTGACAAGACACCTGAAAAATTACTTCTTACCACAACCTAGAGAAAGTTCTGCTTAATACAATGTCTATATCCTCACAATCCATTTTCTTTTACTAGATGCTTTCTTAAGGACTATTGAGCAGCGCTAAACAACCATATATCCCTGATTTCCTGTTTCATGACAGAGGAGGATAAACAAAACATATATATATATGTATCTGTAGTTGGCTTCCTTGGGTATGTCTACTTAATCATTTATAGAAACACAAGCCTGTTCTGCTCCTGCTTTACACTGACCAGGAGCTGTCTAGTTGCCACTACAACAGCACTGAGCCCAAGGTAAAAAGCCCCACCCATGAAAGATGACTTTGTTTTCCTTGAGTTGAGGGAAGTAGGCAAGCTCTTACACAGATATGTACACCTATAGGAAGAGCATTTCATTATTATTTAGTCATATTGTAGTAAGTTAATGTTTTTCCTCAGAGCAGCAATTTGCTTCAGAAGGGGAGAGAGTACTTTGTATGAGTTATGGATAAAGACAAGGTGCACACTGTGTCCCAGAAGAGCCTTTTCAGCATATTTCATTTTAAAAAATACTCTATAGAACAATAGCTCTTGTATTTTAATGCTTAAAGAAAAGTGACCAAGGTTCTGTAGACATGAAAAGCAAGCAGTATAATGCTGCAGTACACAATTTTCATAGTAAGGTGGTCTTTAGGTTCCTAAAAAGGGTAACAGGCACAGTTGATATAGCTGCTGCAAACATGTCCCAATACCAAATTATGCTGTTCCCAAACCAGTCAGATCAGAGCACTCCCACAAAAAGTTCCCTTCACTTAACTAATAAAACATACAAACCAGCAAGTCTGACTTCACAGATAGCAAAGCATACATTAAATAACCCTTCTGCAGAAGGAAATGGCAGTAGTCTTGAAACAAGAAACCAAAACCAGTTGTCTAACAGTTTCTGGTTTTGGTAATTAGATATTATTGTAGCTCAAAGGTTTTTCTTTTCTTTTTTTGAAGTGCTTCATTACAAAGTGTCTTGTTCAGCAAAACATGCTTGAATCATATTGTTCACATACTGAAATAAAGCATGGAATTAAGTTATCTGTTGTTGTATTTAGAGAAATTCAAAATTCCAAATAAAACAAACCACTACTTTTTTTATTCCCTGTACATACAGTGGAAGATCTATTCCTCAACTTCCACAACAGTTTTTTTAAAAAATGCTACATTAAGCTAGTACCTAGAAAGCAGTAGCATTCACCTCTCATTTGGGCTTCACTGTTTGTTTGTAAACTCAGACTAGAGTTCATTTACACGAAAGCAAGACAAAAGAATTTGGGGACACATGCACACCAGGACAGGGAGGGACATGACCCAAACAAAACCCAACTAGGCTGAAGGCTCTCAAAACAAAAAGTGACCACCCCCAAGAACATCAATTCTCTATTATCAAAATCTAGGCACAATAAGATGAAATCCCTCAACTTCACTTCCAGCAGTTTCTCCCTCTTATCTCCCACTCTTACGAAGTGATTAAGTTTTAGTTTAATAATTTACCTATTAGTGCAATTCAAGCATGCTTGATCAAAATATTGCCAGAAGTCCATAACAGATTAGTTCCAAATAAAAAAGGGAAAGTTATCATTCTATCATTTAAGTATTACAGAACTTAAATTGTCTAAGCTATTAGACTACTGTTACTTCTATCAGTTTAATCAAAATTTGGCTTCCACTGTCTTTAACTCACCTCATTATGCCCAAGCATGGCAGCATGTACAGCGCACCACATACTGATCTCAGACCCCTGCAATAGGTAGGTACAACAGGTTGAGTTAAGGACAGAATGGAAGCCTTTATTTTGAAGTGGTTTTTGTTTTGGTTTGTTTTTTTTTTTTAAAGTAGTCATGAGTATGTATGTATACATACCAAATATAAATGCCTAGGAAGTACCACATTAGGTAGGGAAAAAAAAAACAACACAGTACACCACTTATGGCTAAATTCATGTCAACAAATAGATTCAGATGGGTGACATTCAAGTCCAGATTTGTTGCATATAGTATCTTTTATATCTGACTCTAGCTAGTCTGTCTTCAGTAAATCATGTTCTTTACAGTTGGCTTGAATGCTCTTTGGGGTTTGAGTAATCACATCAAACCCCTACAGAACATCCAGTGTTATTTATGGACTTGTAGAAATACTAAAATTAAATCTCTTTCCAGTTTGATTTTAAGACTCACTTCTGAAGTAGGGAAGCCACAATTCTAGTATTGGATCATTTCCAATAGCTCTTAAAATGGGGAACAGTCAAATGTCTGCACAAACACACGAAACTGCTGCAGCAATGTGATGTAGCAAAATTGCAAGCTAGACAATAGTCTAAAAAGGTTTCATGCATACATGAAGTGCCAAGGATATTCATTTTAAAACCTTAAGATACCTACAGCAAAGTACTATGGAAGTCTGCATCTTTAAAAACAGATTCCAAGTAACCCAAAAATGTAAGTCAAAGCGGCTGAGTTCAGAAAGTTTCTATAAGCAAATTTATCAGTACTTAACTTCCTCAGATGAGCTAACCTTAACATGAAAAAAAAGAAAATTCCCCTGTAAGCCCAAGTGTTGGCCTGTTCCATGAACAAACACATAAGGGTGTCATATATTTTCTTATTTTCTGCACGTCCTAGCCCTCATTCCCTTATTACGCCATGCACAGCAGTTTTCTATAAAAGCTACAGTGAGTTTTAGGTCCTTGGCAGAGTTCTGCTGGATGAGGTAAAACCACTCAAGTCAGCCATTTGTTACAGGCTAACATCTTCCTGTCACACTCTACTAGAGTGTGGCATTTTGAAGATTCAGAAGCAGAATTAGTTTTATTAAAAGTTATCCAGATAGTCCTAAGAGCTAATACATAGGTAAAAGAGACGTTCAATTCTTACTGACTTAGAAATCTGAGAAAATTGTTCCTTTTACATAATATAGAATATGAATAACAGAAATATCTATTGCACATTTCTACTCTGTTTTAACCTTTGTGTCTAAAAGCACCTCACTGTCCACTATTAAAAGTTGAAGCTAACAGCTGACTTCGTGAAGTATGCTTCAGTAGGCTTTCTGCATTCCAGCAAGCTTGAAGACAGAGTCTGGGTAAGTAACGTACTAGTGATTCTCCAGTGAAAAAAATACAGCAATCATGTTGATTAATAAACAGCCTGGCTGTCCAGAATTACGAGAAACAAGTGGCTAAGGATTATCATAGTAATATATTCTATTCATACCCACCTGATTAAAATTTTAAAGCTTCGGTCTGACCCCATTACCTTATATCCAGCTACCAAAGTCTCTTATACACACCCTTTTTACTCCCCCCCCACTACTTATTTAATGACAACTGTCTTTTCCCAGTCAACTCTTGTTAAACCAACTCAGAATAGCTGTCATATTCCTTTTAATAGTAGGTACAAGTAGATTATTTTAAGAGACAAAGAAAAGTTATTGTTGCCCATCTTAAAATTAGCAAGGGTTTCTTACCTACTACAAACATGATCTATTAGCAGCGAGACAGAATCTAGATTACTGTCTAGTTTGGTATTATGATATAGGCACCGGTCCCGTTGTAGTTCCACAGCCTGACGCAGCAGGTTCTGTAAACGCCTTGGAGGAAGCATCACTGATGGGGGTAGGTACGCTTTAAAAGAATTATTAAGAAAAAACAAAACAAAAAGCTATATCAAAACCAAGATACAAGTAAGAGCACATTTTGATTTGAGTGTATTTGGAAGATACCTTAGTAAATAAAGCTTAAAAGCTAAAGGAAAAGAGTGCACACAGCTTATCAAGTTTACACCTATACACCTGGAATTAAAAGCATGAACTTCTGGAAAGCAGAGCTGTATGCAAGGTATTTGTAGTTACAGTATATGTTGTCCTGGCCAACAAGCACCATTTACACAAGCTAACTTAAACCCCAGTATTTAACAAAATATTTAAAATTACAGAACAGCAGCATGACCTGTGTTCATTTAAGGAACTCTCTATTAACACTATCCAAATAAAGCCTACCACGGGTTTTCGAACTCTGATACATAGTATTACGCCAGCCACAAGAAAGAGAGAGGAAAAACTGTAACTCATACCGAAGTCTGAGACCACTATCAACCAGTACTAGTATCAGTAGCGGTTATAGACCACTCTTAGTTTCAACCTCTTGGTATAGCTGGCATTTACAGAACACCCCCCAGCACCGCCCCCGCCCCCCCCCAGCACATTTAATCACCAAGTTATACTATTACTGCATGCAGCAGAGCTAAGAAATAAGAGGTCCTATTACAAACAGTTTATCAGAGACAGCCAAAGGGTAGATACAGAAGACCAAAGCATATAGGCACCTAAAGGCATCCCCATTAACCAAGAAATATAAAAACAACCACCAGCAAATGCAGTTCAAGTCAATTCCCTGGGATATGTCATTATGTAAGACATACTGCATTTACAGAGGTGGGAATAAATTCTAAACACTAGAACATCTTACTCTGGAGTTTGTCCAAAAGTTTAGATCTGGAAGCTGTTCCTTTCCCTTCCCACTCTGCTTTTGCACGCAAGTCCTCTGCATGGCTACACATCAGATACCTGTTCAAAGAAAGCGCACACACACCAACAGACCAAGTCTTTCTGGAATCATTCTTTTCACTTTTAAGCGTGATATATATCATAACATTCTTAACTGGAAACAGATGACTTAAGATTGAGACTGATATGAAAAAAGGCAGGGAACTATTCCACACAAACACACACCTTCTTCAAAAGAAGTGCCTACAAATTGGCAATAGAAGAAGTAAACAAAACAAACAGATTTTAGGGAAGGTAGAAATGTCATTTTCACCTAGGAACAAACCAGACTATATTCACCTACTTATTCAATTATAACAGGCTAACAATTCCCATGATCAGATGATCACACATGTGTATGTATTAATTTGGGTTCTAGTATTATGAAATTAAATCATAATCAGGTTGTTTTCAAGCATCTAAAACAGAACATTGTCTACCAAGTCTTCTTTACTCACCATTTTAGCATATGTCACTACAGCTTATTAATCAACAGGATAATAGCTTTAATACAGTTTAAGGTTTTTTTTACAATGTCAGCTATCAAAAGCTAGATAATTCCTTAGAAAATTCCACCATAAGAGCTCTCAAAGTCCAAACACTTACCCACTGAGGACATGAATGCGTTCTGTATTATATTTCAGAGGCGTCAGTTCACAGCGTAGAACTTGAAGTGCCTCCAGGACCTTGCCATCCTCCAGGTATTCCAGGTACTTCTGCTGCAGCAGCAAAAACTTCATCCTCTGACATGACAGAAAGCAGCAGTCAGGGGAAAAAGGTTGACTGAAGTTTCAGAAAACGTTTGAGCCTAAACAGAACAGTAGAAACCATTCTACTATGCCCTTCAGAAATACAGCTATATGTAATGTTTTATTACTAATTTTCTTTTTTTTTTTTTTTTTGGCTGGGTTTTTCAACAACAGTGCAGCAATTAAGATACCCATGAGTTTCCTTCCTGCCTTATGGGCTGCAAAGATCTTCCTCTCTCATTTCTCAGATCTCCCCTTCAACTTGTCTCATTTTCATACTCGCTCCCTTTTCAGTCACCATTCTTCAAACCCTGCATTAAATAGGCTTCCCAATCTTACATTCTATCAAGAAAAACACCTCATCACATACTCTCATACTACTTACATAGCACCTGACATGGATTGTTTGCATAGCTGCACAACATAAGGCAATACCAAATCGACACTGCCTGAGGTTTTTTGTAGTTCCATGTTAAGTTGTTTTCCTTGAGTGTTGTATCATTTTTCAGGATTACAGGAAAAAAAATAATTGTTTCCTATATTTAGAAATCACTTCACTTCTCGGAAGTAAACACTGCTATTTCATAGTGTTCCTTTCATCTTGTACAGTTCTTGGTTGTTTTCTTTTTAAAAAAACTAATCAAGCCTGCTATTCCAACAACAAATGTTCGTGGATAAAAAAAAAATAAAAATCAGGCATTCGTTTACTATATTCAGAAACCCAAAGTCCAAGAAATTTCTAATATCCATTTATTAAAAACACAGTTTGGTTGTTTCTGGATGAAACCAACTATTCTGTGTTTGCACATCTTTACTGCTAGCAGTTATCAGACAGAAAAGACATTTATGGTCCACGAGACTCACCAGGTTAAAGAGGAAAACATAAATTCTTAAGGCATATCACTGAGAAACAGAATGAAGATAAAGTGTAACAAATTACGTTTGCTTTCCTAATGAATACACCACCAGTTCAATCACTGGTTTCCATCGCTTTGTCAGACCTCAGACACCTCACTGTTTTCATGCTCATATTTGGTCAATGTTTACTCAGTTTCAAACACACTGCTAGCCTCCTTAAATAGAGGGATAATCGGGAAGTTTAAGATGCTCCTGTCCTATTAAAGCTTACACGAAAGTTTAAGGCTTACTGTACGTAAAATCCAAAGTTAAAACATAAAGCAGATTTAGGTTGCAGAGATGTTCACTTCTTCAAAAGAATAGTTTCCACATACAGTGCTACTAACTTACCACACAGCTTTGTGAAGCATAAAACATAGTAAAGGTGGTTTATGTTCAAACATGGCTATAGTACTCTATTATCCTATACATGACAGGCAAACCCATATTACATTCTCTATCCGGTTCCTTAGTGGATTTGGATTTGGAATTGTTAGAGCATCGCTGTACCATTTTTCCAAGTGAGACAACATTCTTTGGTGTTCTGACATGTAAACAACCCAAAAAAGATATCCCAATTATTTACAGCCTCAGTGGTTGGTTCTATGCAGTAAGGCAGCAGACCTCACACTGTTGGCTTACATACTAGCAGCAGCAGGGCTAAGAGCTTCCTCTCCCAGCTACACACATGCTCACAAGGATGCATGGAGGTGCTCTGCAGTCCCATACCATATTTAATTCCTTAGTCACCTCATACTGATGATCACCATCAGATAAAAAAATAGTCCAATACATCCAGATTGTAATAAACCCCATAATCCCTCCAACTCTTCCTTCTTCATTCTCTGCATATAATATTCAGTACAATTGTATCATCTTTCCCTTAATGCGATAACAGTATCTGTATCTAATTACTCCCTACTTTTAGGACTTGGCATGTTAATTTCATTTCTTTAGGGAGAAAAGTAAAAAGAGCAGAAAACCCTAAAAAACAGTTTTTGCAACGCCACTCCTAACAATTCCATGGAAGCATTACAGGAACACTACCATGCAGAATGCTGTTGCCAAGTTATCCAAAGAGGTATAACTTCAGAAAGTATAACTTAAAAAAAGTCAGTGTCATGTGTGACTTTGGCATATTAGGAATATAAAAGCGTCTAGAACAACACAGTACTGTACACTTCACACAGGAGTCTACTGTTAACATAATGGAGAATTAGTATAAAAGATAAGCAGTTTTAAATTGTAACTTATCTATAGCAAAAGGCAGGAACTAGGGTAAAGTGTTGATAGGGAAATTAAATTGATTTTCTAAGCTATTTTGATAACTACTCCAAAACTTGCCCTACAGCATACTCAAACAATGGCATGAATACAACCTCCTTAAGGCAAAAGTCACACTCCAGTGACATCATATTTCAAGTCATTTTTTTGTATCAGGACACTCATGGTCTCCTGCCGCTTATTTTTGTGCGACTATAAACTTTGCTGACAAACAGATTTCACTGAACAACTGAATTTTGTCTTCATTTTCTCTCAACTACTTATATACCCTACTTATAGTACTGCTAATTACTTCCAATACCACCTTCTTAGGACATACAAGACCTTTCTGAGTATATCATCTCTTCTCTTCTAGAGCCCAAACAGCCTCTGCTAGAAGGAAACAGAACTATTTATAATATTGGCAACTAAAGTAAAAGCACAAACCCCACCATTTAAGAAGAATAGAGCGAGTATAAAACTGATCTGACACAATGCCCCCACAAGAACAGCTTACTCATTCTCCATATTCTTTATCTGCCTTCCAAAGAAGGAAAATAAAAATTATCATAATCCACATTATACCATGTACAATGTAATAGAAGTGCCTGGGATTTGTTGTTATCATTTCAGTATTTGCAATGGAAATTCAACATCATTACACTCTACTGTTGAATAACTTAAATCCAGACACCATCATCGCTTAACTTACATCCAAGATTCTCCACCCTGCAGGACACATGGAAGAGCCCAATACAGCTGTTTGAGCGCTGCAGTTTGGCTGATTTTGTTCAGTTATTACTATCTCATCCTGTCTTTCAACTCTATAGAGAGGATGAGGATAAAGTGCATTGCATATAAGTAATAGCTTCTAGAAACAACAAAGTAAGTTGAACCTCTGATGACCCTGGGGCAAAACTAAGAGAGAGTTAATAGATTTACGGGTGTGTGTGTGTTTGAATGTATGTACTATTAGCATTTTGCTTTCTTCAAAATTACGGCCTTCAATTATTACCATGAATGTTTAGTACTTTACTCCTTCATTGTCCTAGTTGTTAGTAGGAAAGCCCCTTGAATCTTAAATTCTAGGAAGTTTTGCATGCACCACGATTGACCATCACTAAGTAACTGAAGGTGAAAGCCTCAGCAACACAACTGTGAAAATAATAGGACAAGCATCCTACCACAGTCAAGAAATTGGGCCATTTTGATCACAGGTTATAGTACCAAATCTTTAGAAGTTTGAAGACTAAAATGCATAATAAACTAATTTTAGGATTAGATTTTGGTGTTATTTTTGACCCACATATCTTAACAAGCTCCATGACAGTTTTATTACTGTACTAAGTGTTCAAAACAAATAAGTAAACACTGCTGAAACAACTCTTCTTTGAAATGAAGGCAACTAAAAGACATGCTGAAATTACCACCTGATGTTTCAAGACATAAACTTAACACAGTAGCTATCTGCTTATAACCCGCAGAACTAAGACCCCAATTTTCATCACTTTGTAGTCTTTATTACTTTGATAGTCTTGCAAAACACTGATAAAAGCACTTAAAAAACATTCAAACCTTAAATGTAAGACTTGATACGTAAAGGGCAGAAAATACTCCGGCCTGTAGAATTTAACAGGACTTCAACCATACCAAATCCTGTCACTTAAAGAATAATTCTAATAGGGAACCGCCTTTAATGCTGGTAGCAAGAAGGACACAACACAGCCAGGTGGAGCACTTTGCTCCCATGACAAGATATAAATCACTTGTTCTGTTGTATTGCCTGCTGCAGGCTGTATACCTCCAGAACTGAGGGAGAGCCCCATTTAAGTAAATGAAAATAAGTAAAGAGGACAGTTTGAAGTATATTCTAGATGACTATAGAGGAATAATCTCTATATTTCTCCCTAGGTTCAATCACAATTACCCAAGATAGATGCCATAATATGCCTGAGTAGCCCTAAAGTAAGCAAAACCTTGGGCTGGCTTGAAGCTGATATTTTCCAACTGTTACTCAAAAAAAAAAAAAAAAAAAGGAAAAATAACATGCTTGAATGCTTGAATCAACTATAAAGTATAAAGTTTTACTACAGTTTGTCTCAAGACAGCTGTACCTTACAAGCTGGAAAAGTAAACATGACTAATCACACGCTATATAGCACTCAGTTGTGTTGACAAAATAGAAATAGCAGACTGTCCTGTCCCCCTCCCCCCCCCAAACATAGCAACACAGCATCAAAGGTTTACAAATTGAGATCAGCCATTTCATGTTTAGTGTTTTCACCTGTAGAACTTACACCACTTGCAGAAATTAGGAAATTAAAACAGGAGTAGAGTTTTCAAAATACATACGTATCCCCTTCACAGACCAGACATTTCAAAAGCAGCTATATATCCTGGTTATTTTGTCCAGGTCATATTAACTATAAGGAAAAAAAAACACAAACAAACACAAAACCAAACACAAACCAAAAATAAACCACCACACACACACCCTCTACTTTGTTAAATACTCTGTGTCATCTAAACTTTTAGGTACCCATTCTTCTTGTGCACGCACATTTTTGAAACATCTAGTCATACAGTATGAGTCACAAGTCAGGAAACCCAAAATCTAATTTTCTGTTTTTAAAGAGTTACCTGCAGCAGTATCTTGTTTGGACTTTCCCTAATCAAGACATTTATCATCCTCATTAGCTCTGACTTTGTTGCAGTCGGGATTACCTACAGAGCATAAAGCATCCCTCCTTACCTGTGATGATCTTTCACTAGTTTTCCAGTTGCTGACTATACTAATATTACCCCATAATCTCAACCATGTACAACAGAGACGGGCAGGGTGGGAAGTGGAGACAGTGCACAGGCAACAGAGTGCGCACGAGCTCAACTTCTCCTTGCAAATCAGTATTGTCTTACCAAAACAGACATGTAAGATAATTTAAAACAGATAACAATATTAAATATATGAAGTTTATATAAAGGAGAACAACTTTAAAAAGAAAATAGTTAATATTTGGTTTAGGTAAAGTTTAGTCTAAACCAAGTATTTTTATTGCACTAAGTTTTACTCAAGCAGTTAGACACCAATGCTACAGAAGAGCATGCTTTCAGATCCCTCCAAAATAGAAGGAAAATGTCCCCTTTTTCCTCAAATTAAGTTCTCTAAGTAGTACAATGCTGATACTCAGTTAAACCTCTTGACTCCCAGACATGTAAAACACTTTAATACCACAAAGAAACTTGATAAGTTCAGAAGTTCGAAACATGAGAAAAGTCTGCTTCAAAAGATCATTCATGTTCACATACAGTGGTTTTACAGTTCCAGTCTCCACAAACTATTGAAAGCTGCATGCAATATTCTAAACTATTTGAACAGCAAATCTTATGCATATCAAGTCTCTGAGAAAAGAGAAAGTGAACTATTAGTCTAATTAAGAGGTGCTAAGCTTTGACAAAATTAATAGAACAGAATGTAAACTTCTCTCAAGTACCCTCCGATGTTTTGTTAAACATCTGTTTTTCCTACTTCACTTCCTGTTCTCTCTTTCTGTCCCTCCCCCAGACAGGAAATTGTCTTGACAACAAATGAATCAGCTAGAAGTGGAGCTAAGCAGCCATCAGCTGATTCTTCATTGTTGACAGTCACAGACACTTCAAAAAGCCCTGCTACTGTTTTCTTCCGAAGTGACTGTAGTTGTTCTAACTTCATTTCATTAGAATCAACATTTAAACAAAACAGAACAAGCTGTTTGAAAAGCTAAATAATTATTTTTCTATCTAGAGACAGAAAAGTCAAACCAAGAAACACTTTCCTCAGAGTAACTGAAATCATAACAACACATATTGTAATTGTCAAGTCATGGGACTTACAAACCCCTATTTCTAGGTTCATCTTTTAAAAAAAGCCACCCAAAGAGAAAAAGCTCTAAATAAAATCCCTAACAGCAATACAAATACTCTCTTTAGAAGCCATCTGGAAAAGCAACAGTATTGTTCATGGTCTATAGCAGCCTCTATATTCTTGTAACGTGCTATTACAATGCTAACTCCACATTAGTATCACTGCATTTTGTTTCTAAACTTCTCTTCCCTCAAGATGACCTAACTCCCATAAACACCACAGAGATTGTGAGAAGTATTTCAAGTTTGAAATTAATAATCAACACAGACAGTTTCTACAGAAACTGACCTATTTTAGGACTCTTACAGGATTTATACTTTATCAGTTAAGTATGTTTAACAAAGTTTAAACATTCAGTACACCAAACATTAGCCTCTTTTGGGCTTCCTATCTCACATTCTAAAAAAGAATAAAAGAGTTCGGATTAGTATGACGTTTGTGATAGCATGCAAGCCACTTAAAGTAAACAAAAAAAGAAAACAAGAACTATGGACAACCAACTCCATAGTGAAAGATTACACCACTACAATTAGTCCAACTATACAGCTCTGAAAGAGTTCAAGTGTGCCTCTTACCACAATTGCATGCGGAGAATGCACTAAGGCCTTAAGTTCATTCAGGTCGTTCTCAGCCTGCAGAAGTCAGCATAAGAAAACAGAAAACAACAAAAAAAAAAACAAACAAAAAAAGTATATAAGGAGGGTGGATTTCGAATTCTCTCACAGATACTATAAATTTAAACAGTGGTTAATACAGTCCTATAAGCCCTACGTTACCTTATCCCATTCTCCTTCCATGACATGATTGCGGAATTTGGTAGCAGAAGGATGTTCTAAACGACATCCTGACTCTTGCATGAGAAGATCAACAGTCTGGCTGCAGGAGAGATACAGTGTAAAAAAACCCGACCAGTTTTACCCTCACAAATATACCGCCTGCTATGATAACAGTTAACCGTATTTAAAAGTAACTTTAATAAAATAAGAATACTGTGACCAAATTCAGACGCTTGTCCAAAAAAGACTATCTCAGTCACCCAAGACATGTAAACAGCTACCTATAGCTAAAGCAAGGTGTCAATGAGCTTGAAAGCTTTGCTGAAGTACCATAAAGTATGTGACTTACCAGCCACCACAAACAGCCATCCCTGCACAGAAGATAGACTTCATGAAGGAAGATACAGACTAGAAAGCTGTTAGCTTCCGACTACCATCCCCTGCCCCCTCCCTCTCCCCCCCAAAACACCACGGAGGGCTACCACATCTGCAACAGGCCTAACTTTTTCTTCTTCATCAGGTATTAAACGACTGGCTCCTTAAAATAAAATAAACAAAGTCATGAACCTGTAGCCCTCCCCCTTTTACACTAAAAATAGCTTATTTACTGTGGTGTCGTCTATGAACAGTCACGAGTTGTCTGCTGCTGTAAACTTGCCTCTTGTGTCAGAGGCAATTTATTTTATGTAGTAAGTTCTTTCTAATTGACCCATTCCACAGTGTTTTGAAGACTTCTTTTGTGGTAGTTACGTGAAGACTTTGCAGGAGTTCTCTAGCCTCCTTCCAAAAATCATGACATGTTGGCTTTGGCTTCACTCACAAAGTGAGCGTTGTGATTAAATTCTTAGACTTCCCCGACTCCACTGGGAAATTATTTTTCCTACTCTGATTTTGAGAAAGAGCCAACATACTTGTTTCTAGTCGACAGATAAGATTATTATCAAAAACACGTGTCCAGCACAAATCTGCAGAGGCCTTCACCATTTACAGGGACGAAGGTTTTCAGACTGAAACCAAACAGCCTATTTAAGTGGCAGTTCAGTTTGAGCTCGCTTCCTCCCAGCTGACAAGCCAAATCTTGGAGCTCATCTGCAAAAAGCCGCCCCCCCACGCCCAGCTGCGGGCTCCATTATGTTTACCAGATAACTTCTCCCCCACTAACACATTTGTATTGATCTGCCCTTATCGGTGTGCAACTCGACTTCCATATTGCCATCCCTGGCAGAGGAAGCTCCCTCCCGGCCTGTCCCTTCGCAGGCCGCCCTCCTCGTACACACCGAGCTGACCGGCACAGGCTGAGAAAACACATCACCGGTTCCTTTTTTTTTTTTTTTTTTAATTTATGTTAGCGGGCCTGTCCCCCCG